TTCTGAAAGGTTGCCGACCCCGATGTAGAATGAGCGAAGAAGTAAATTCCATATTATATATATATATATATATATATATATATATATATATATAGTATATATATATACACACTATACCTCTACTGTGTCTTCCTTAAAGAGTCCCAGTCTTATCATTGTATATTTATACAGAAATGTCTCTGTGCCTTTAATCGTTTTTGTAATCAGTCTTTGAATCCATTCTGTTTTGGCTATATCTTTTTGAAATAAGGCAACCATGCCCAGGGTGTGCCATGGATTTTTAATAATGGCATTATCAACTTGTAAGTGTTTTCTATCCCCTTCCTTGTCCATCCTAGCAGTCGTTTGCTTTTATGACAGCTTTTTCACAGAGCTGTCCATAATGATGATCATGTTCTTTCCTGAGTTTTTATAGCTAATTTAGAAGTAGCTGTATGCCCAGTATTTGGGTCCTTGCATTTGTCAGCACTGAATTTCATCTGCGATAGTGCTACTTGTTCACTTTGCTTTATCTGCAATTAGAAAGATATGACAGCAAGAGTGAGCTGTGTCTCCAAAGATAATTTTTCCAAATTTGGATATCATGAAATAAAGCGAAGATTAAGAAATGATGTTTGTTAAATATCTGTGATTTACCAGGTAGAAGTATAGGAACAGAAAATGTATGCAGAGACCGTCTAGAAAAGACTATTATTCTGTTCACTAAAGTGGTAAGTTTCAAGTTCACAATTCCATTACTAGAATGGAGTTTTCAATATTTTTGAATGAGTGATCCACATTAAGTTAAATATATATTCTTTAAAACTCATATGTTTTATATACTGTGAAGAAGCAGTTAATTGCAGTTCATAGCTTCACTCTCTCAAAATATAATCTTGAAAACATGTATTCCTTTAAAGAGAAGAGTATCTGCTTTATTCAGGACACCAATATGAACTGTCAGACTGTAACATACATTTAATTTTATTTTAGATAATAAAGTGTATTTCAAAAGTAAAATTTGTAGCCACTGTTTCGGGGCTTGCTCTTGATAGACATATTTTAAAAAAAGTATTGTGATATTGATCAGTGTAGGAGGTTAATATAAGAGATTGTAAACAATTTTCCAGTCTTCTTTATTAAACATCTGGACTCACTTGAAAATGTGGGTTGTGAGTAAAAAATAAGAATAATCATGATCATATTAAGTAAGTGACTGTTCTTGATTAATTTACTTAAAAACAAACAAACAAACAAACAAAAAACAACCCATACTGTTCAGCTGCAATTTAGTATTTTAGGTCTGCACAAGGAGTTCGTGCTTATGCCAGAAGACAGTTTTAGTAGATTTAGGTGCATCATCTTTCAGACATTCAACACCTCTAACACTCCCAGTGTTTGAGGATTCCATCTTCTGGCCCATATGACTTCTTACTTAAACATGGAGCCTTATTATCAGCGGTGCCAAGCACTTGCAGTTCCAATTGAAGTCAAGCTACAGGCACTCAGTACCTCTGAAAATTAGGCCAATAGTTCTTTGATGTCTCCTGCAAACAAAGCATTCATATATCTTTCTCTCTCATTCAAACCCCAACAACCAGAGAGTACAGGGACTGTTCCCAAATCCATCTTTCATTTATTTTCTTGGTAGATGCAAAGAAGCAATTCATTCTCTTCAGACTAGCCTCCCTGAGGATTGTATGGATGTAAGCCTTTTGGGCTCAGGTGACCTTATGTGACTCAGAGACAAGGGGGTGAGGCAGTATCTTTTATTGGACCAACTTGTGTTGGTGAAAGAGACAAACTTTCAAGCTATACAGAACTCTTCTTGACTACAGAAGAGCTCTGTATACAGGGCCGGCGCTTCCATTTAGGCGACCTACGTGGTTGCCTAGGGCACCAGGATTTGGGGGGCGGCAATTCGGCGGCGGGGGAGGTCCTTCCGCGCTCCGGGTCTTCGGCGGCAATTCTGTGGCGGGTCCTTCACTCACTCCGGGACCCGCTGCCAAAGTGTCCCGAAGACCAGGAGCGCGGAAGGACCTCCCCACCACAGAATTGCCGACGATGACCGGGAGCGTGGAAGGACCCCCGCCTAGGGCTCCAAAACCCCTAGCGCCGCTCCTGTCTGTATAGCTCGAAAGCTTGTCTCTTTCACCAACATAAGTTGGTCCAATAAAAGATACTGCCTCACCCACCTTGTTGCTCTTGTATCCTGGGACCAAAACAGTTACAAGAAAACTGCAAACAACATTTATGACTCAGTCATTTTTGGAGTGCTAAAGAAATTTGAAGGAACTGAAGAGAAAATGCTAGAGTAATGGCCAGGAAACTAGGTAACTTAGAACACTTCAGAATTTTAATCCTTATGGAGTCAAAGGCTTCATGGAAGAAAACATAACCTGTATACTGCAGGGGAGAAGACTATACACGAACAAAGCCTGATCCATATAGGAAACTAGTCTCTCTTCTTCTTTTGTCTCTTCCCCTATTGTGCTTATCTTTCTTGGTTTCCTGTGATCTTTAACTCTGAATAAACTTGCTACAGATAGAAAATGAATGAAAGTCTAATCTTGTGCTGAGATTGAGTTTGTTGAAAGCACATTTAGAGTGCAGTAGCAGAGACAGCACTGAACAAATTGAGTTGGAAGACTTTTAACTTTCCCTATTCAAGTAGACAACTTCCATTGCTGCCGCTTACAAAGCATTTCAGAGTAGAGAATGATTACAGTCACTAATAGGGCTTATGCAAGCCTTTTGTTAACAGGCCCAGCCTTTGGCCCTGCAAAGAAGAATCAGATTTCATTTTAAAAAGTTCCCAACCTTGCAGAGACACCTTTGAAAATACATAGTTTAAAATGGTTTATATAACTAATTGCTAAGTTTTAAAGGAACAAATGCCTGGACTGGAGTGGGGGAAAGAAACTGAAGATCCCTTTGTTCGCACCTTTTTTACACAAAAAATTATTCAGTTATAATGGAAGTAAATGTTCAGTACTTTAAATATGGTTGGAAATAGGTATGAATGGTGGATTACTAATAAGAATATTGTTAATTTGGGGGCTATCTTTTTTCTTGTTTTAGGGAAAATCAGTTCTTACATCTGTGAATTGTTACTTAGCAATAATAAAGCACTGAATAGTTGAAAAAGTACATGGTTCCTTAAACTCTCATCCTTATTAACAAAACATTGCTTTGGAAATGAGAATTAGAACACCAACAGATAAAATGAATGAATCAGTAAGCACCATAAAGGTGATTTTGTTTTAATTTAATTTTTGTGGCCAACTGTTAGATTTGCACATTACATAAATGTGCTCCTGTTTTTGCAAGATGGTTTATGAAAGTCCTTTGTGCACATAAAATGTGTATGAATTGTCATATGTTTTTTTTCTTCCCTCACTTTTTAGCTTTTGGACTTCCTGGACCAACATCCTTTTTCATTCACCCCTCTGATTCAGAGATCATTGGAGTTTGCTGTAAGCTATGTTTTCACAGAGGCTGGTGAAGGAGTTGCTTTTGAGCGATTCATTGTCCAGTGCATGAATTTCATTAAGATGATTGTAAAAAATTATGCTTACAAGCCATCAAAACGTTTCGAAGGTACTGCTGCTTTTTCCTCAGCATGTTTTCCCATTCTTGGGGGGGGGGGAGCTTGCCAGCTGTGACACAACACTAACTTCAAACATTTTTTTAAAAGGCTTTTAAAAAGGCGTTTAAAATTCTTAATATTGTACTAGTTAACATGATCATATACTAAATATTGCATATTGTTAATATTTTGACTTTAAAAATCAAGCTTTAGGAAAGAATCTCCAAATCGTTCTATAATTACCACTTAAATCCATAAGAAACATGCAACAAAACAACTTTCCCACATAGAAATACAGAGAAATTACTTACTGCTTTGGCTTTCATTAACCATATAAAATAAAGAGCCCATATTTAGTTCAAGGGCCAAGTTAATTTATGGTTATTCAAACTCAAGCTACAGAATCAAAGTAAAAGTTTCAGCATGCTGTTGAATGCAATGAATTTTTCTGCAATTCTGACTCTATGGTTGATTCACAAGAGGCTGGCTCTAGCTAAATATTTTTGAATCTAATACATGGATAATTACAATTACTTTCTTTAGTGTTGAAACACATCTGTCTATAGAGATTACTTAATTTTAGTTTTAGTTTCATGTTTGCGTATGATGAGACATCAGCATCTAATTGGATTCAGAAAAAAAGTATATAATTTTCCTTTCCAAATTAAAATAATCCAGTCATTTTTTAAGAGGTTCAGAAATTCTGATGATTTTAATTCAGATTATCAAATCCAGTACTTAAAAATATGTTGCAGGAAGAACTGCAGATCTTCAATTGTTATTTGATATTTTTGTACCAGGTATTAGAATGTCAATGAACAAATTGTAACATATTTGGATTATAATGAACAGAATTAACTGCTACTTGCAGTTCCATAATTATGATTTAGTTTTTGGAATTAAAGGAGGAGTCAGAATGCTTTATGTATGAAGAATACATTGTATCCTGCTAAAAATTACAGCACTTACTCTTTGGGTACCAGATGAATTTTCTGAGAATTTGAAAGTAAAGCTGTTACTTAGTTTGGACTAAAATTAGTTTAAAAAATTGATTCTTTAAGAAATTTAGCATCTTGTCAAGCCATTTTTATGTCCTGAATGATCACATGTGGTTGAAACTCACTGAAATCTCATGACTTGGTACAATTCAATAATTATTTTAGGCTTAATGGTCATTTTTAGTGTTTGTTCTTCATAACTGAAAATTTCATTTTTATCAAAGATGAAGGATAATTTTCTTCTTCTGAGAATTCCACAATGAACTGCCCTCTTTCACAGTAGCTGTCATTTTGTATTATTCTCAGTGATAATGTAGCTGTAAGGGTACCCACTAACAAAAATGCCCTCTTTCAGAATGGCCACAATCTTCTAGTGGTTGTTTCCAATCAGAGTGGAGCCAAGCTGATTCAGAGAATATGGTTGCTCCTGACAGGATAGGATGACACAATCTTTCCTGAGGGTAGAATCTTTCAGTTATGAAGAACAACAACAAAAAAGACTATTAATCCGAATAATTTAATTAACATCAGAAAGTGAGCAGTCAAGACTTATTTTATGAGGCATCATTGTCACCAGTTTTTTCAGCTAATAGAACAATCTTACTTGCTAAACAGTTTAGGTGCTTTATAAGAAAGTGTCTTAAAGTCCATATGGAGGTGTAAGTGTTCCTTTCACTATGAGAGTCTTCTGTCTAGCATTTTCTTTCTTTATTGATTAATAGGATTCTAGTATAACGTTAAGTCATGGACTAGTAACAGTGTATTACTATTACAGATAGCAGTCCTGAAACTCTTGAAGCACATAAGATAAAGACATCATTCTTCACTTACCCAACATTAATGGAGATATGTAGGAGATTAGTCTCTCACTATTTCCTGCTAACAGAGGAAGAATTGACAATGTGGGAAGAGGACCCAGAAGGCTTCAGTAAGAAATTACTCTGTATTTTCATCTAATTTTATTAAGATATTTAATAGTACCTGTTCCCTTTTCACAGTGCATCCAAAAAATGCCCATTGTAAGATCCACAGGAGAAAGTGACTGGCATTTTTATTTGTACAGTCTTGTATAGAGAGATTACATTCTCAGGATTCTCTTCATAACCCGAGATGTGCAGTAACTCATGTTTACCTATCCATGATGTTTTCATACTGATTAAATAAGTAACTAATATCGTTTAAAATCATAACTAAAGTATTCACTGTATTTTTATGTAATGTTTTCTTGTTTTCTTTATGGACTCTAGCTGTAGAGGAGACAGGAGGAGATTCTTGGAAATACAGTCTCAGGGTAAGTATTTCAGTTTGAATGAAACAAGATTAATTAAAAAGAAAAGTGGTTCTTCACGCCTTTGCTGAGTGGCCTGTAGCCCAAAGGTGTGACATTTATTAAAAAAGTATAAACCAACATTTGCAGAAGAATGTGAATTTATAATACTACAGATTGAAGTTCACAGTAACTATTTGAATTTGTGTTAAGATATTAACTAATGTTTAATCTTAAATACACTGGAAAGTAAATGTGCAGTGTGCTATGGTAAAAGAGGTGGAGTTCATATTCTATACAGTACTTTAAAAATATTGAGTGAGTGAAGGTAATTTCTTTATAATATTTTTCATGTTTTATGAAAAAATTCTAGGTAAGAGACCTATCTTTCTCTGCTCTGTAGGATGTTTAGCACATCCTTGAGTATTGTAAAATAAATATTAAATAAAGGTTCCTGAGATTCTTTGGCGTAACATTTTCAAGTGTTACATTTTAAAAACCAAACTATTTGTAACAACAAGATCAGAGGAAGAACACACATGTATTTAAAAACCAACCCCCCCTACAGAACGTAACATTTCCATGGGTCAGCATCCGTAGCTTTCAAAGGCGTATTCTTTGAGTTCAAAAGCGTGATGATAGAAAAGGCATAATATAGAGCATACGTCAAGGGTTGCATATGCTGTCGTGGAGGACAAAAGAGCATACTCTGTGTCCGTTGACACCTAATTGTATAAAACAAACTAAATAACAAAAAAGGACAGAAACTGTGTGTGTATGTGTATGTTACACACACACACATGTTTTTCTATATATATTTTTCTTAAGCTTATTGGTTTATATACATAACACACTTGAGCAAATCAAGTCAGAGAATTTAAGCAAACTTTATTTAATGTTTATATCATGCTGAAAGATGTGCCAGATTCCTTACAAAACAGAGAGAAAGCTCTGCTCTATAAAGTATACAGTCTAGATCAAAACATGAAATAAAACTGATGGTGATTAGAAACATAAAAGGCTAAGGAATGGGAGTAGGGCACAGTTACATTATTAAGATTACACATTAATTTAGATTAGTTACATACATTTTGTGACTGTTTAGTGGAGGCTTTTAGTGGTATTTTTCCTGCCTTCTCAACATCAGCTCTTGCCTGATTCTGGAGTTAGTATGCCTTTTTTACAGTCCTTTCCTGGGTCAAAAAGACCAATATGTGGAACAAGCACACCAAACAAATATTGGGTTTACTTGCCCTTCTTCAAAGAGAGATTCCATAGCATCTCTGGCTTCCTCCAACACTCCTTTTTCTGGGGAGAGGTCCGGATTTATACATACCTGTCTTCCAACATGCCTTATGCAGTCCTGGATTACAGTTGGCTGCTAGGAAACGGCTTTCCCAGAAATCCCACTTTATTAAGGGAAGTTTCAATCCATGCTGCTCTTTGAACTCCAGTTTTGGGTACTACACTTAGGAGCCTGGATATTCATGCATAACTCAGAATACTTCCTCCGGGACCTCTACTCTGTTTTCCTAGAAAGGAAGAGAATTGAATTAGATTGTTTTTAGAATGAGGGCTGCAAAGAGCTCTTTTTGGTCCCTCCCTAAACAGTTCTGCCCTGTTCTTCTTCAATTCATTGTTTTGTTTACCCTTCTCCTTCCCCCTCAGTTGACTTTGGTTGTACAAATGAGAGCAGCATGTTGTTTCAAGAACAGATATTCCATTTTCATTGATCACTTAATACTGGTATTCAGGACTTGTTACTCAATCCTGTGCATGCAGGGATGTACTCTGTGTTTTTTATTGGAGTCCAAAATACACTAAAAGAGGCAGCTTATATCTCTATGTATGTAACATTTTACTAATACCTTGTTTCCTTCTATTTCAATTTAAATATATACACAACACTAAAATTGCAAAAAGTCTTTTTTTTAAATTGCTTTGAGAATTGGGATTATCCTATTCCCCCCGCCCCCAGTGCTCACCACATTGTATTAGAAATTCTTGTGTATCACCTCCATTCTTATTTGCAGTCATATAACATTCATGTGATATTGACAGCAATTCCTTGTACACGGGAAAAGAAAAAAATGTTTGTATATTGTTAGCTGTCTTTTAATGCATTTTAATAATTGGAAAGAAGGAGCAGGAGCCTCTTTGTGATCAGCCAACTCTCTCCACAGACTAGCAGTAATCTATAGACCACAGTTTAAGAGCCATTTGGGTAAAGTTCTACTGTATGCAAGACATCAGTAACAAAGAACTGAAATATATGCCAAGTGAAAATAGAGCAGAGAGACTTGAAGAATACATTTTGGGTAGCTTTGTTAAATATTGGAAATATAGTATAAAGGTGTAATTTGTTCATTATGCATGCTATAGGAATAAAAATTGGCTAATTAAATTTATCTCAGTTATTTTCTGATTTATTTAGTAACTGATCAGCAAACTTAGAATGTAAACCTTACATTGTGAATGTGATACTAGTGCATCAAAATCTTGCTCTAATTGAACATGCCGTATTGTGACAAAATCACTTTCAAAAAGTTGTAGTGCTGGAGTGTTTTCCTTATGAGGTATTTAGTAGTTTAAATGTATTTATTTTACTGTATAATAAAACTGGGCTAGACTTGTCTTATTTAGGTTTTATAACAGATTTGTTTTACTTTTTCAGCCATGCACAGAGGTTCTTTTTATTGATATTTTCCATGAATATAATCAAACCCTTACTCCTGTGCTTTTAGAAATGGTTCACAGTCTACAAGGTAAGATTTTAAAACTGTTTTTAAGATACTGGAATTACTATGCTATTTCACTTTGTGCAGACTGTATATTAATCCTAATGTTTATGTATTTGTGAAATCTAAATTTGTATGCTAAAATATTTCCCCCCTATCTTTCAAATAATTGTAAATGATATTGGAGATGTTTTGTAAGTATATTGTGATGAAAATGAAGGGTATATTTACAGAAAGGAAATATTATGAATTTTTGTTTTCATGGACCTAGAGTGTATGGTGTCTTTAATAACTATATAGACAACATAGGGTTTCAGGGCTGAAAAGGAGGTTATTCAGTGTTTATGGTTAGATTTCTTTAGCTGGGGCAAAAATTGGAGCAAGGTCTGTTCTTTAGTGAGGATTTAGAACTCATAGGATTTTCTACGAGTTGCTGAGCACCTTCATAAGTCCCGTAAGTCATTTTACAAGGAGCTTACCAAGAAGTCCTTGATTTGTTTAAACTCTCTGGAAGAGTTTATGATGTATCTGACATCACTGCAGAAGCCACAGAATATACTTTTAGGAGATGATGCCAAAGCTTTTCAGTCATCCCAGACGTTCTAAGTGAGGTGAAGAATCTTTGGTTAGAAAAGATCAATCCTTTTCAATTAGACAGAGGTTCTCTTGGCCAAGCTGAAAATAACCAGGAATGCAGCTCAGTCTGAGTTTTACAGTCAACCTAAAGGCGTTAGCAGGCCTCACCATACTTTTCATGATGGTAACCTTTGTTTTTACTCCGTGTACCCTGTTGTCCCCATAGTGTGCATCACAGTTTATTGAAGAGATTCTTGTGGATCATCTCCATTCTTATTTGCAGTCAAAAAACATGCATGTGATATTCACAATAATTCCTTATGGCACATAGAAAAAGAAAAATGTTTGTATATGGTTAGCTGTCTTTCAGTGCCATTTAACAGTTGGAAAGGAGGAGCAGGAGCCTCTTTGTGATCAACCAGCTCTCTCCTCAGACTAGCAGTGATCCATAGACCACAGTTTAAGAGTCTGTAGACCTGTCTACTCTGTAGATCCATGCAATCAGTTGTCTTAGTGTAGTCAGGCGTCAAGACATTTTAATGGATGATTGCAGAAGTTGGGCCTTAGTGCTGCTGTTTGCTATCTGCTTCATTCCTAGCCAAGCACAGATTTTGAGAGATGTACCGTAAAACCCTAAAATCAATTTTCACAACCCAATTACTTTTTATTTCCCACTTCTTGGGGAATTAACACCTCTTGCTTTCTCCTTGGCTTGGTATTTCATTATGTTGGATTGATAGGTTTTGAAGATTGTGAAAGGGCTGCACTCTTTACTACAGATAGGTTAACTCAGTTTCTACTGACATAGTTTTGTTCTTAAACCTAGCGACAATGCCCATTGTGAGATTTCCTGCAGACTGATCTTATTTGCCATAGAAAATAACAACAAATGTCACTAGTTCTGCTTCCAAGCAGGAAGTTGAGAAAGAGTATCAATGGACTCTTTCCTGAAAGACTAGAGTTTAATAGTGAGGGGATGTCCATCAGTATTTTCTCTGTTTTTTTTCCGATCCCCAAAGTTTTTCACAAAGGAGTGCCAGAGAATACCATATGACCTTGATAGCTCTGATGTCCACCTTCTGAGGTTATTTGAAGGGAGCTGCCTCTATTTCTTCCCCATCAGACTCACCTTGCAACCTGGATCAATGTCCAAAACTATGTTATGGATTTTTATGATACATTTTGAATCTGTACCTAGAGACCTTGGATATTTAAGATCTGAGATTGTTTGGATGCTTTGGTTCTGTAGGAATTACAGGTTTCTAGCATGGAGGTGGCAGAATTAGACTCCCTTAAGGTAAAAATCTGGAAATGTTCGTCACTCCTCTGCCAAAAGCTTTTTTTGAGTTCCCAAAGTAGGGACTCCACATTATTAGCTGTAAATACACTTGAAATTGTGAGGTCTCAAGTGTTGTTAGCATGGGAATGATCATTGCCGAAATTGTTTATGGCACCAAAAGTCAAAATTAAATGTTTAAATTGTTAGAACTTTATTATATTTAATTATATAACGAACAGTTTTATGTAATGTGTAGAAGTAACCAGATGGTCACTTTTTCTGCAAAAAGTCATTACTTGATAGCCATTCTTTACCGATTCCTATTTTTTTCCAGAGTTTTTTTACTTACTTACATTTATGAGTACTCTGTAGCTGCATATTTTACGATAAATGTAATTAAGTACAACTGCCAAGGCAACAAAGTATGGTACAATAAGGATTTGAATTTCCTTTGCTTTCTTCAATGAACATATTGTAGATACTTTTCAATAAAAAATTCAGTATTTCAGTAAGGCACAGGAATATTCTTGATATGCAGTATGTTCTCTTAATCAGAATGGGTCCTCTCTTAGAGGTTGGAAAAATACAAAAGCATCAGTTTAACAGTGCTGTACTTTTAAATACAAGATGCATTACTTTTAGGTTTGTATTTATAGAGAGGATATTTTTGATTATATTGCTATGGCTATATATTTTGATTCTTTGCTATGCACTACGTCACTGAAATATATGGCGATATACCTATCTCATAGAGCTGGAAGGGACCTTGAAAGGTCATCGAGTCCAGTCCCATGCCTTCACTAGCAGGACCAAATATTGTCCCTGACCCGACCCCCCCCCCCCCCGAACCCTAAATGGCCCCCTCAGGGATTGAACTCAGACCCCTGGGTTTAGCAGGCCAATGCTCAAACCACTGAGGGTCTTATAGTCTTTGTTTAGTTAATGCATTTTTTCTATAATTGCTTTTATTTTAACTTTATTGCAGGACCTACGAATGTGGAAGATACTAATGCTCTACTGATTAAAGATGCAGGTAAATTAAATTTCACTTTGCCTTTTAAGGAATAAAGCTTGTTATGTATGTGCCTGACTTCTATAAAATGTCTGAGAAGAATTTGTGAGATGTAACTTTGACATTTTGAAAAATAATATCAAAATTATTTTCTCATAGAACTGAGTTTGAGCAGAAACTATAGGCAAGAATTTTAGGAATAAGGTATTTAATAAATATAGTACTTTTCAGTACTTTTGCAAAAATTAATCCCTCAGCACTTCTGTGTGGGAGATATTCTTTCCATTTTACAAGCAAGGAAATTGAGGGCTGGACAGATGACTTGTCTAAGGCATCTGATGGAATCATTGGTTTAGAACTGTGGAGCACCTGACTCCTTTAACTGCTGTGAACACTACATGACAACCCCTCTCATGAGAACTTTATTTATTTGTAACTAAAGAGAACACTGAGGGAAGTTTTGTAAGGTTTTGTCATTGTTTTACTCAAATGACTCCTTTTTTAATTTCTCAATTTTCAGAATGTAAATGTTGGATAAAAAAATATTACTTACTGCACAAAAGTGATCTGAGCATAATTTTCAATTTCAGTTTTTAGAATTTTAACAATGTTTGACTAGAGCAAAACTTAATTTCTCTGTTTTTCTCCAGTCTACAATGCAGTTGGGCTGGCAGCTTATGAGCTATTTGACAGTGTGGATTTTGATCAGTGGTTTAAAAATCAGCTGCTAGCAGAGCTACAAGTCTCTCATAACAGGTGAGCACCCTAATCTTTCTTTGTATCTTGGCTGTTTAAGTAATTTGTTGATACAAGTGTGTTAAGATGGAGTATGAAGCAAGTGCAACTCTGGTGAATATTCATTGTTTAAACATACCTGCTAAATGAGCAGAAAGGTATAAAATATTTACAGATGACTGATGTGTACACAAAAGGGTGAGCTTCCTGAAGCCCTTCACTTTTGATCTTATGCTTTTCAATACATATGTGATGGCTACTTTTGATTTTTTTGTAAAAATTAATGTATACCTTTCTTCTTTTATACATCTGAATTTTATTAAATTTTCTCAGTACAATAAATAACACCTTTAATCATTCAGCTCACTTTGAGAAAGGCAAATACCAGTGTACTGTCCTGTTTTATATTTGATCTTTGTTTAATTCAAATGCAAACTCTCCACCCTGCCCCCAATAAACTAAAGATATGGTCACAGAGATGGATTCAGTGGGGAGAAACAGTTAAGAGGGAGTGATTAATAGGAGGGTGTCACTTAAATAATATTGCTTGTGCTATTTCTGTCTGCCAGTGGTTTTCTGCCGTAATTGTCACTGTCACATTCTGGGGTGCAACTCAGATCAGTGAAAGGTTGTGTCACTGCTTATATTATAACTCTGAGTGCCCCCAAAATGCTTCTGCTACTTGTAGCTCCCAGCCTGGGACACACATGCAGCCAGCATGCACTTTGTGTTCTCTAAACTGTTCAGGCGTGATTCAGTCGCTTTGGATCCAGCAGTTTGCCAGCAGTTATCCTGTTTGTTCCTTTAAAGAGACTGAACTAAACAACTTGCCACATTAACTGAAGTTAGCATTCGCTTTAATTCAAACACAGCACTGTTGGTTTAGATAAATAGTAAAACAAGTTTATTAACAAAAGAAGATAAAATTTTATGTGAGTTCAAGTATAAAAGATAAATCTAGAAATGGTTACAAGCAAAGAAAAGTGAAAACACATCTTAAAGTCTAAAAACTTAATCTAGCAAGGTGCAGGCTTTGTTCAAGATGGCTTTTCTCACCCACAGTCTTCCAGCAAGATGGTGGCTGAACCCGCCACTCCTTGATTAGGATCTCCTCCAGAAGTCCAAATGCACGGGTTCCTTTGTCCTCTTAGGTGAATGAGATAACTTGGGGTTTTCTTCCCCTTTCTTTTATAGTTCAGTGAACAGTTGAAATGTATTCTTCTGAAGGTTATCCCTCAGAGTAAAGTTTATTCAAGCTTTGAGGAAGGTGACATGGAGTCTGGTGGTGTAGGAATCTCTATGCTGTTTTTTTTCTTCTGCTGTTGTTTGCTAAAATGCAAATTGTTCTGCTTCCTGCAATCTCCTCTCCCTGCTGTCTTGATGGTCCTGTTTACTGCTTATATGTAAATTGTGGAAAACACACATTCCTTTTTTTAGGATAGATTTGTTTAACAACTTTACCATCTGGTCTTGAACATGTGCTAGTAACATCATACAGGGGGAATTCATAATGTTACATAGAATGTTGATACATACATTTTACCATGATGTTATTGGCCAACAAGTTATTTATTTTCAAATGACACCTCAGTGCATATTTTATATAAAGATTATTAGAATACTTTGTAGGGTATGAATTCAGAGTGCTTAGGATTACAGGTCACCTTGTCTGCTTGTTTTGGATTTAGGAATCCAGAGATCAGGCTACCCTGAAACTGGTTAACTTACTTCCATGCTGTGCTAGTATTCATTGCTGGGGATTTACAAATATAATTCAGTTTTATACAAGGTGGAAAGTGCTTCTAATGTTACACAAAGTAAAATGTCTGTAGCTTTCTTTTCTGTAGAGTATGTTGTTTTTTTGGAGTATCTCAATGTGATAGGTTTCAGAGACGAGCCAAGCGAATTAACACAGGATTGGAAGACATGCCGTATGTGATAGACACAAGGAGCTCAATCTATTTATCTTAACAAAGAGAATGTTAAAGGGTGACTTCATCACATTTTATAACAGAGGTGGGCAAACTATGGCTCGCGGGACCGTCCTGCCTGGCCCTTGAGCTCCCGGCCTCTCCCCTGCTATCCCATCTCCCCTGCAGCCTCAGCTTGCTGTGCTGCCAGCGCTCTGGGTGGTGGGGCTGCGAGCGCTGGTGGCCTGCCCCTGTGCTCTAGACTGTGTGGTGGCGTGGCTGGCTCCAGCCGGGCAGCACGGCTGCCAGTCCTGGTGCTCTGAGCGGCATGGTAAGGGAGCGGGGGGATTGGATAAGGGACAGGGGATCCCGGGGGGCAGACAGGGAGGAGGGGGCAGTTGGATAGGCGTGGGAGTCTCAGGGGGCCTGTCAGAGGGTGGGGGTGTGGATAGGGGTCGGGACAGTCAGGGGACAGGGAGCAGGGGGTGTTTGATAGGGGGATTAGGGAGGGCGCAGGGGGCGTAGTTAGGGGCTGGGGGTCAGGGGACAAGGAGCAGGGGGGGTTGGATGGGTCAGGAGTTCTGAGGGGGGCAGTCAGAGTGCGGGAAGTGGGAGGGGGTGGATAGGGGGCAGGGTCTAGGCTGTTTGGGGAGGCACAGCCTTCCCTACCCAGCCCTCCATACAGTTTCGGAACCCCGATGTGGCCCTCAGGTCAAAAAGTTTGCCCACCCCTGTTTTATATGTATCTACATGAGGAGCAAATATTTTATTTATTAATGGGCTCTTCTATCTAGCAGACAAAGGCTAGATGGCTAGACCCATTTAGACTGGAAAAGGCATACATTTTTAAGTTTGGGTAATTAGCTGTTGGAACAACTTATCAAGGGTTGTGGTGGATTGTCTGTGAGTGGCAATTTTTAATTCAAGATTGGATGTTTTATGTAGAAGTCAGACTAGATAATCACAATGGTCCCTTCTGGCCTTAGAATCTATGATAGCCCTGTATCATAGAAAATGTTAACAAATTATTTAGCTACTGAATGTGTAACTTTTAAAAGAAAATTTGATTATATTAACATATAAATTATAACCGCATAGACCCTGAGTGTCCTTGTGCCCTATACCAAATGCATAAAGGGTGAAATAGGCCCTGCTGCCCCTCATTTACTTCTTACTGCTCCTGGCAGCAAAAAGGCATCCCAGCTGTGTCTGCCTCTTGATGCACTTTATATACTCATTTTTACAAAAACGGTTTACAGATGTTCTGTTTTCAAGTCCTTCCTGAAAAGGATCCAAAAGCCAGAGAAGGCTACCTCAAGTTATTTGTTAGACAAGTCTCTGTGTGACCTGCATCAGACCTGGGCAACAAGACCCCTCAGGACCAGTGAGCTCTGAATCCAGAAGTGCCCCAGTAAGCTCCAGATCATCTGCTAGCTCCTGAGACCCTACTACTTCTAACACCACCCTGACTGCAGTCTCTAGTAGGGTGAAGTGAAACATTCTTCTCCTGGTCTCCATAGATAAAGAAAATAGCATCGCTCCTCTGAAAAGTTTAGGGACAGGTCCCCTTCTGCTGATCTGACCAAAAAGAGGCTGAAATCATCTCATCACCTCCTACTCTGAGGATTTCATGGCCTGAATCGGGTGCCACTAGAATCTGTATGGAACACAGTACCAGACTCTCAGCGCAATATCTGAGATCAAGGCTTACTTCCTCTGGTACTTGCATCTCTCTCAGCACCAGTTGCGTCAGTTCTGACTACCTTGGCACTGGCCATTCCCTCACTGTGAAGAGAGAAATATTGTTAATGACATCTTCACAGAGAATAAAATTCATAGGGTCAGTGTTAGTCTCCACTACAGCCAGAGTTTACCTGCCCTAAAACAGATTAGATTCCATGACAATCCTTATCAACCAACTGCAGAATCAACCATGCACCTTAGTGAGAATGCCTGAGTCTTCTCAAGCCTACCACATTCATCATGCAGCATGCCAGACTTCACCTGCCCTGCATCCAGGGATTGGTAAGGTCTGTGTACCTAAGGTCTGCTCTCTGCCCCAGGATTCCTCACTGTGGACTAGAATAGTAATCTCCAACCAGTCCAGGTTTGGAAACACTGTCCTGTAGACCATCAGTATGGCTCTTTGTTAGTCTTTGTTTTTTATTGTGATGTTTAAATGTATTCTAACATTGTATATAATCATGTTTCATTGTTTATTGATAATACTGCTAGCAACAGACTTATGAAGAGCAGGAGATATTCAGAGTTAATGAGTAATGAAGCAGTTTAAAGCGTGTGTGTGTGTGTGTGTGTGTGTGTGTGTGTGTGTGTGTGTGTGTGTGTGTGTATAATAATA